AACATTGTTTCGTTCTGCTGTGCATGGAGTCGCTATGAGTCGGTTCCGACTCGATGGCACCTGACAACAACAACAACAACAACAATATCTGACAATGTCCTGCTGCTATTCATAATGTTTTCAGTGACTGAACATTCAGTAGGCCACCTCTCCTGCTTCCTAGTCTGTCTTCATCTGGAAGCTCAGCTGAAACCTATCTACCACGGGTGACCCTGCTGGTATTTAAAATACACGTGGCATAGTTTCCAGAATCACGGCAATACACAAGCCACCACAGTGTGACAAACTGACAGATGAGTGGTGGTCAACAAACTTAGTTCCCCAAATTAAGGACCTAGAGACACCCTGCTCTGCAAGCAAGCCTTCTGCCCAGAGTCATCCAGCTGTCCTTGCTCCATGGGCTGGGAAACCCCTGCTCGGTCTGGTGCTCCGGCTCTTGGTTCTATTGCTGCTGTCCCTCTGCCCCTCCTCCGGTGTCACCGCTTCCTGTCACTGGGTCAGGGAGGTTCAAGGTGCAGGGCTTTCGGGGTGAGGGGAGCCTAAAAGACATGCTCCATTCCCGGCTCTTCTTTGATGGTAGTGCTTCAGAGATGGCGCATTTAAAACTCAACAAAATGGTAACACTGACCAATTCCCCAATTAGATTTCCAAGTGCTTACAATCAAAAGCCTGTTAACAATCCCTCAAAAGTGAATCACATAATCTATCAGCATCTTACCCGACATATCAGGAAAAAGTCATTCGCTGGGAGTTTACAAAAACTATGACTAGAATAGACATCAAATAATTCACCACATCAGTTTCCTGTACCATCTCTTCTATGCAAGTCTTGCTAGCCTCCATAAAGATGAATTGTAAATATATTCACATATGCATGTAGATGTGTATAATCATATCAATAGATATGTGACTAAGAGCCCTTTGGTGGTGTAATAGTTAATGCACTCAGCTGCTAGCCAAGAGCTTGGCAGCTCAAACCCACAACGGGCTCATGGAGGAAGGTTTGGCAGTCTGCTTCTGTGAAGATTTCAGCCTTGGGAACCCTATGGGGACAATTCTATTCTAAAGTCACTTAAAAACCCCAGAGGAGCTATTGTGTCAATATCAACTCACAGCAACCAGGGAGAGGGTTTCCAAGGCTAACTCTTCACGGGAGCAGAAGTCTTTCTGGTCTTTTTCCTAAGGAGCAGTTGGTGGGTTTGAACTCTCGGCCTTGAGGTCAGCAGTCCAGTGCTTATTTTAAAGGCCACCAGGGTTTCAGGGTTGCTGTCAGTCAGAATTGATTTGATGGCAGTGTTTGGTTTACTGTATTTTAAATATATATGGGATGTTGTTGCTGATGCAGTGGCTGGTAAGTGCCACAGAGCTGGTTCTGACTCACAGAAACCCTGTATAGCTTCTGAGGAGTAGCTGGTGGGTTTGAACTGCCAACCCTGCAGTTAGCAGTCCAGTGCTTATCCTACAGCACTACATACACATTGTCTAATTTCACATTCATCCACAAGCATAGGGAGTCCTGGTGTGGCGCTGTGGGTTAATGCACAGGACTGCAACGTCCATTTGAACTGCACGGTTGGCGGTTCAAGCTCATCAGCTGCTCCTTGGAAACCCTATACAGGGCTGCTATGAGTTGGAACCAATACAAGATATATTTCAAAGATGTTAGAGAGCCAGCCCTCTTGGGCAGTGACTTCTGTATAATTTTTCCCCCCTCTTTCTCCATTTAGGGTCTGAATGCAATATCTCATAGCTATTAAGGAGCCCTAGTGGGGCAGGGGATTAATCAAGCACTGGGCTGCTAACTGAAAGGAAGGTGGATCAGCCCCCAGCAGCTGCTCTGGGGTAAAGCTTTAGAGGCTAAATCCTACTCTGTCCCATGAGGTTGTTATGCATTGGAGTCACCTTGACAGCTAGGAGTTTCCATAAATAAGTGTTCCATAAATGGTGGCATTTTTGTCTGAAACAGACATAACAAAATAAGGTAAGGATAGAATCCGCAGGTAGCAGAGAAGGCCTGAGTCAGAGTCATTTCTGTGTCTGTGCCACATTATACTGTGACCTTAGACTCCTGGTGTGGCACCGTAGGATCAGCACTGGACTGAGAACTGCACGGTCAATGGTTCAAACCCACCAGCTGCTCGCCGGAAACCCTATACAGGGTCGTTATGAGTCGGAACTGACTCAACAGAACTTGACAACAACGGATTTCTAAGAATTGCTGGTATTTCCTGGTTGGAATATGTAAGTGCTTATAGTTTTCAAAAGTTATTTTTAAAAAATTAACACATTTTATCTGTCCAAGTAAAATTTTGAAATTGCATCAAAACATTTATAAATTTACAGAAAAGCAATGTGCCTACCCAAAGTCTCCACCATCGGAAGAGCTCAAAATAGCAGGTTCAATTCTGTCTTGCATATAACGCACGTTTTTGATCATTTAGCTTATAAAATGTGGAACCTTTTTGTACACTGAACATTACACATAAGTATGTTTTCATATAATATACCAGGAGCTCTGGTAGTGTGGTGGTTAAGCGCTCAGCTGCCAAAGGGAAGGTCAGTAGCTCAAGCCCACCAGTCGCACCATAGGAGCAAGATGAGGCAGTCTACTTTCAGAGTGACTTAGAGATTTGGAACCCTCTGGGACATTTCTCCCTATCCTACAGGATGGCTGTGAATCAGAATCAACTCGATGATAATGGATTTGGTTTGGGTTTGAAAGGGCAATTTCATATTCTGCTGATTTAAAGGTATAATTTACTTCACCATTTTCTCATTGTTGGACACATTGTTTCCCCTTCCAGTTACGCTATTAAACAGCTAAGACTGCAATAAACATCTCTGGGGATAATGTTTACATAATTAAATATTGAAAGCATTTTTTCTTAGATTGGATGATTCAATAAGGAACCATAGAGCTTCAAGATTGTGACCATTACAAAAATCAGTAAATATTGACATATTTCAGAAGCAAAGTTTTCCATATAAATTAGATTGCTGTGGTTCTTTGCCATTTTCCTCTGTATTGTATTCCCATTTGAAGACTTTCAATATCTTGATTTTTACCTTCACTTTTCAGAGCAAAGGCAGAAGTGGCAACCTTTCATTTAAAGATACTCCAAGGTAAAGATGCAGCAATAAAATATCAGACACTTCCTAGCAAAGTAACAACCAGCAAAGACTACGAGAGCCTGAGTATAGTCCAGATAATTTCAGATAGAAAGCACATCTGTGCATCTCCAAAGCGTGAGTGAGCTAGAGAGACAGAAGAGGAGGAAGAAGCCAGAAGAGAAGAGGATGAAATGACAGAGATTTAACAGCGAGTCCAAGAGCCACTCACCTTGGCAGGCATCTCTTGTTCTTCTGTGCCTCCCTCTGGACTTGCTGCCTCACTGCCAGGGGGAAAAAGTAATTTCAGTAAAATGATTGGCACTTAACTGAGCCTGATACTATGCTAGACTCTGGGACTATAACAGTGAATAAGATCATTCCTTCCCCTCTTCAATTTATATTTATATTTATATT